TTAATTCAAAGACCAGCACTCGGCTTAGGTAAATATCAGTTTTTAAGATTTTATTACATTCTAATTGGAGAATTAAGAAATTGGTGATTAGCTAAGTCTGTACCTATAAACCCTTGAAATGCCATAGAACTTTAACCCTTTTTATTGCTTGTTCTCCTTCATTTGTAGTTGTTTAAATAAAAATAAGAAGTCTGAGTGCTTGCCACCTCAGCGGGCACTCCGCTACTTACTAAACATGTAGAATCAGTTAGTTTCACAGCCAGACAACTATTCTCTGAACAGATTGTATTATGCAGCTATTACATTATCGTTACCTACAAACAAAAGAAATAACAATTACACTCTTTCATAAACCGATACCGTTTTTTTTATCCATAATAAATTAGTTGATTTATGCGTTACACTGACCGGACGACCGGATGGCGTAGTGGTTTGTGTAACGGACTGCTATTCCAAAGGTCGCAGGTTCAATTCCCGCTCAAATCAAACATGTTTGATTTGGTCTGGGTGTTTCTATGTATAATATGCATGTATTTACAAAAAAAGTATATGTAAAAAGTATATATCAGTTTTCTAGTACCCATAGTACAAGTTCTGCTTAGTTTGAGACTAGATGGCGTTTTGTGAATGTGGTACAATATTAAATATATATTATACACGATTGGAGCACCAGACATTTTATGAGTCCTAATAGTCGTTTTAGTTGTGCTGTTTTGTTCTGTTTCTATAATGACATCAGCCACCTTTCAACACTTTGTACTGAATGTCTTCCAGCAGTCCATTGGGCCGTCTCTTTTGTACATGAGTATTCAACTAGAGAACAACTTTATATTATTTATTAAACGTAAATGAAGTAGCAAGTTATAAATTCTGTAGGATCGCCGACATACTCTGTCACTTTCATACAATTTCCTTTGTGCGTGTACCTTAATCCAGTACTCGGCGCGCGGTCCGGGATTAAACGTGTTTAAAATATGCCATATTTACTGCTACCGTCTTATTTATATAAAATACTATTTTTGGATAATTTTCGTATGAATAATATACATATAACAGTTTAGTAAATATATTTAGTTATCGATTGTTTCTGCAGAGGTCGGGTAGCGTACAAGCGGCGCGGGGTACCTCGCTTGCTGTATTATTCATCGCGATGCGTCCATTAAAAGGTTTCTGTATTTAAGCTAAAGAGCATACGCCCTTTAAATAACGCGGGTTGGGCTTTCAACTAATTCAGTCGTACGACTGAATTAGTTGGAAAGCCCAACCCGCCTACACATTTGAAGTATGGTTTTTGTACCTGACCTTAAGGAATATCCATGATTATACATAGCTACTTAAATCAAATTAATTCATAATTATGAACATCACATCAATAGAGTTTACTTTAGGATATGAAATACTTGAGGCAGATTAGTGCTAGTGTTCCACAGCTGAAGAGTCCGAATCCAAACTCTAGTGTCAGTTAGTTAGTAACACCAATTTAATGGCGGAGAAGAAATGTAGAGCAATGTAGACAAACGACAACGAGTCTGGTAAACATCGACAAGTATGTGAGTCGTCATTTAAATGTAACGTTGTTTTAATGCCTGCTCTATGTCGGAATGTCACTGGTGGTGCTTTACAGCAAAAGCCAAATATATGCTGATTTAAATAAGATGAAACATCAAGAGCATAAATAACGTCACAAAAATGTATTATAAAATCGTTAGCCTTTGCTTGCGCCTTCAGTATACGAGTATTTAAAGTTTTTTGTTATTTCTTCGGTATCAGCACTTTTTTTGAATCAACACCTATCCTTTTTGAACCAGTCACAATGTACTCAGGGCGACGTTTTCACGAAGATAAATGAGTAGTAAAAGTGTGAAAGCCAAACAAACAAACTTACATTACATCATAACATTTAGTTGGAATTGGTCTTTAGGGAGGAGCTGCGTATGCGCATGTGTATGAGTGTATGCTTTCGGCACTGCGGCGCGTCTCTTTGATCTCGTGTCATGACGTAGGTAAGACGGCGCCGCCACATTTTGCTCCAGTTTTACCCGCAGCTCTATATATACTTATACATATATATAGTACAATTATATACGTAACATGTAGGTATAGGCCGGAGCGGAGTCGTTAACCCAGTAATGAGTTATTATTGAAGTGCGTCGTTGATAAGTGAACGTAATTCAAAGATGCACGCAAGATCCATCACTGAGTTGATGCTAAAGTACCTGTCCATGGACAAACGACACCACATTTAATATATACGTACCAGCATCTAAACTAATGTAAAAAAAAACAATGTATGTGTAAGTCTATAAGGTCCGTATGTGTAAGTCCGCTTTTTGACCAGGGCGCCAACTTGCAGGGGCTTAATTCGACTTTGAATGTTTTATGTATACTCGTACGTTCATGATACGATGTCTTTGTCAATTTTTTCTTTTAATGATCATTAAAGGAAGATTGGATATCGATTAGATTTACAAAAAAATCAGATTAAAATAAAAAAAGAAAGTTACAAAAAAGAATTCCTATCAAGAACCACGTTTAGAAATATCATTAAACTCACAGGATACTACATTTGAAATCAATCAGACCGATACAGACACAATATCTACGAGTATATGACTGCAAGACGACTAAATAATGAAATATATTATTTTATGTGGCGTCAGCTGTTGTCAAACACAAAGATGTTTTAAGACATCAATTCATCGTCAATTATGTACTCACTAGCTTTTTCCCGCGGCTCCGCCCGTGTGTGTGACGGTTATCGCGTTAAAAATTAGCCAATGTCCTTCTCAACAATGAAACTATCTCCTTACCTCATTTAAATCAGTACAGCGGGTATTGATTTCCATACAAACTTCCATCCCCCCTGTACCCCCTTAATAGATGATTTATTAGATAAAACACTATGTCCTTTCCCGCGACTCAAACTATCTATGTATCTCTATCATCTAAATCGATTAAGCGTGAAGTTTAGTAATAATATTAGTATTGATAGTGAACCGGAGGAATCACACGTCGCACGCGAAGATTGCAGCTGCATCGCTTGTCTAATTCGATATCCGACAGACAGTTCGGGGTCATAGCGACTGTGCACTGCACCACACTGATACAGATAATGCAAATTAGCCACGCAACGGCCTCTATCACTTGTGATGATTCGCCACTTCGTCTTTATGGCCGGAGAGAATATTTTACGTGTTGCCACTGAAGTGGGCATATTGCACACTACAGCGCTTTTTGGGTGCAATGGACTGTACGAGGCCAGACAAGCAACATTCTGATTTTTACATAAATTAATTACAAAGTTCTTTCAATGCCATCTTTAGGATTGCTAATTCATGCCGTGTCTAAAGAAGTATGTAGTATAAATAGTTAAATATTTATAATCTTATGGATATTTGAGAATAAATGTATGTACGAACACCAGATAAATGAGGACACGTTTCGATGAATCTGTTTTTCTTCCGGGTTATGTTGACGTTTTTGTGGTAATTTCCTTTTTTTTATAAGAGTAATCCTTTAAGAGTGTTAATTTGCGACGTTATTGTTACCTCGAAAACTTTTCAACGACAATATTAAGTATTAGATACATAGAATTAAATTTATAGCTCATTAGTTAAGTCCAGCCGCAGTTCGTAGTATCTGTCTGTTTTTATTTTTTCATATTGTGTTTTTTATTAATTGTGGTACATATTTGTAATGTAACGTGTTCTATAACGAACATTCATACATATTTATTTGTTTCGACTAAAATTTTGTGCAAATTATTAGTTTTTCCATAATCATAATATTAATGATGATGACCTAGCTGTGCAATAGGTACCTACCATTGTTCTCGTAATCGTACTGAAGACAAGGAAAGTGAAGCAAGTTTCCTATTCGACTGAAAATTTTGAAAAGTATCTTTTCAAAAAATATTTTTGCAATCAAAAAGTATTGATATTTTATTTTATTATTTTAATTTTTTGTAATCAAAAAGTATTGAATTACCTTGCATCGCGATTACCTGAAGACGTAGACGTTTAAAAACACCGTGATCTAGATGAGAAGGTTATCGTATACTTTGTGCAGTTTGGCAATATTATCTCATATTCCAATAATCACCTAATGGATTGCTATAGCCCAAAATATGCTATAGTTATATACACACGTAAAATGTCATGGATTTGTTGTGCAACATATTAAAATTCGTTCCGCTGGCCGCGTCGGGGCGGCCATGTGCTCTCCTGTCAGGAATGCGGCCGTTGCATTCATCATCATTTATCTGAAGCATGTTGCGTTTGCGCCTCTCGTCGCGACCTCGTGGGGTAGGTCACTCACCCACGCGACACTCTCACTGCATGCAAACGTACTGCAATTTAATTAACGATCTCTCTCCAATGAATTAAACCACTTAAGATCGCATCTGTGTTCGCTAAATCAATTTACATAGACACTTGCTGACATGTATTACTCTCCCTAACTGTTGCGTTAGATTTAAATGATTCACTAAAAAAAGGTATAACTTTACTAGAGCTGATTACATCGAGAAGAGTCCGTTGTTTATGAAGAAAGATGATCCTGCCTATTGCAGTTTTGTAGCGATTACACTAATTGGTTGACATTGGTACAAATGAAGAAGTCCTTGATATCTGCCGCCTACCGAAGCGCGCTGACTAGTGCGGAGGCAGACAATCGCCAAGGATCGCACAAATCAAACGTTTTTATTCTCACTCAAATGATTCCGACGTGGACGTCGCTATTATTACATGTCTCGACCAACAGGCCGGACGCCTCTTTATTTTCAACGTTCAATGCTCCTATATTTCTATACGATCTTTAAAATGAAGTGTTACAAAAAGCTTTCTATAAAATTTATGAGCTCGCTCGGTTATTAGGTGCGGCGAATACAATACATCATGGTCTCAAACAAATATTGAAATAGAGCATTGTGCGCACGCGGCGCGGCGCGGCCGGTTGTTTGTTGTCGGAACCAGAGCGCGAATATTTCGCAAATGATGTTCTTACTGTGCTTCGCGCCGCGCTATACCCATCACATGTTTGAGTAGGTTTGTAGGCACGCAGTTTAATTTTGGTCTGGGTTCGTCGGCCGCGCGGCGTTCTCGTTCCACGATGTTTTTAGCAATTCCGCGACCCCATAGACATATAGTCGCCAGGTGCACCGGAACGGGTGACCATGATTTCAGAACAGTTATGGAACGTCGACCGTTGGTAACCAGCAGACCACCCGCTGCGGTTCCTTTCATGCTAATCTGTCGGCACGTGATTCTGGTGCGCTTACTGCTTCTAACACAGCTTTCGAGGTTATATAACGAGTCAATGGACTAACATTGGTCATTATCTAATTTGATGTTTATTTAGGAACCCGTTTGGGCAGTTTTTATCAATGGTGCTCGTAACAGTGAAGTGAACCGCTTTCCAATGGTACCGGTCATCCATTATGTGTATTGACAAATACGTCTCACACGCCTTCATTACAGGCGAACATTTATCCGAGAACATGGGCGACTCGAGCATTAATACATCGGTGCTATCCACTCGCTTAGTATGTGAAAGATATTTGAGGCATAGGCACTTTCACATAAGCAGAGCCAGTAAAACATATTTAAGTAAACTGTAAGCAATTGGCAACACAGTTATAGCTCGTATCTTGTTAATTATGTGTCTAGCTAGCTCGTATAACAACTTATAAGTTTGAGATTATTGTTAATGCTTTCCCATTATTTTCGATTAAGCTACTTTATTACAATGTATATATTAGTTTTTTATTTTATTTCAAGTAACAGTTGCGGTTATTTTTACAGCAGCCTTCACGACTGGAAAACTTGGGCTCCATAAGAAATAAAGGCAAACGAAGACAACTTCACTATATTCCCATCATTTACGTGTAATACACCCACTTACTTAGATGGACGAAGTAATACCCACTTAAATAAGCTCCATTACAACAGGACGTTACATTTCATATGCCTATTTAGTATATATTTATAAAGGCTTAATAATGTGGAAATTGAGTTCGCAACACACAACGTGCCTTGCATTATTTAGGCAGGTGTTGTATGAATACTATATTAGAATTTGATACTGTATTAGAAAATGACTACAGTCATATTGTGTTTGCAATAGCAAACACAATAAGATCTGACGAGGTATCGTTGACATATGTCATGTATCAGGGTGTGACTGCACATACACCGCCAGGGTAAACACCCGCGCAGGGTAACTAACAGCACGAGTATTGTCACTGTTTAAATAGTCGTGTTGTGTCGTAGTGCGGCCGCAATCGGGTCGGTGGACGAGCACCTCATTGCACGCTGCAGCACTCCCAATTGAAGGAGTGCCTCACTTTTTACTAAGAAATCTAGTTCAATTAAAGGCATGGAAAACCCGGTGCACTTTCCGCCCTACTTCTTTTTAATTAATGCTTGTTTGTTTTTTTTTAATTGAAGCCCTCATTCGGGTATTGGCAAGAAAAACAAAAAGAATGGGGTAAACTCATTAACGATTCAACAAAGTGAAATCTATTTCCGTGGAAATTTTAAATTTCTAAAGTTGATGAAACCTGAGTAAATACGACTACGCAAATTATATTTATTTATTTCCCATGTTTTTTTATTATACTTTAAGTAATGGAATGAACGTTCGTTAGAATAGACGTGATTTTCGAGTTGTGGTAGGCAGTTCTAAATATTTTACTTAAAGATGAATAAATGCTTATTGAAGTTAGATGCGTTTTGCGAAATTATGTATGTGTGCAAAATATTAGTAATTTTTAAACTACGGTATGACGGTACTCTACACTTTAACTATTCCACGTTTTGTGTGACCGGCTTCTGAGACTTCCACAACATCTCCTTCTAGCACATAGAAGAGTCCTGTGCCTGTGTGAGTACTCCTACGAATGTTAGTACGATCAAGCTTAAGCCGGAGGGGTGTTTAAGCAAGAAGATATTAGTTTGTATATATATTGTGATATATTGTTGTAGCGCTATTAGATTTTTTATTTGTTATTGATGAGTCTTAATATTAATTTCTCTCCGCTTTCAGCCAAGGTCTCCCGAACTGCAACGAGAACAGCATTCAAGACTTAAATATAACAGTAGTTCTTTATTAATTAAGTTAATAAATTAAGACAGTCTATCACAACTAAGTTGTAAAACACCACATGGCCTGGAAGATCACCATTTAGAGAGCCCATGATATAGCAACTCTATAGACTTTGTCAGGTGTGTGCCGTCATCACCGCCGGCTATTCACTTCGAACCGAAGTCTGAACCGAATAGTAATACCGCCATATAAAACACCGACACACCACAAGCGCTGTCTGAACATAGTTTTATCAATTACCATTAGAAACGTGGTCGTTTTATATCAATGATGACGACAATATTATAGCAGAGATTGCCTATAAATATCGGAGCGTAGGTAACGGTGGTGTTGCGGCGCGGCTCTGTACGCGGATGTTTATTTGAGTAGCGCCGTCGCCGCCGTCTGCGGCCCCTGCCGCTGCCTCGCGCTGTAAACATGACACCTTTGAAACTGTATATTTTTGACTATTGCTGCGTTGTAAATGTACATCTTTCACTGGGTGTGTGCCGACCACAATTGAAAGTAAATGAAAGTTTCATTTTAATTTGTTGTAATATTATACAGCAAATCTTTTTAATTATAATAATGTTACTACTGTACATTATGTTAGTTTGTAAACAGTTTATTTTACTTTTTTAAGAACATCAGTATCGTGAACTACACTTTACTAGTATTCTTATTTAACCCTCCAAACGTCCAAACTCCTTAACGTCACGGATTTCACGTCGGTAGAGCATTGAGTAGAGTTCGAATCTGCAAACATTTGATCGCAAGACGATGTGTGTGTTTGTTGATTTTGGCACTCGAAGCAACATCGCAAACTAGAAAAGAAAGTGACTTCTAATTGGGGGTAACACTAATTGTACTCAGGATAGGTATATTTGTCTTTAACACAATATATTTTCTTCGCTTAGACGGTGTAACAAATCAACCTGACACACCATACAATACCCACAAACTACAGACCTAAAGAATCTTTATGAAGGTACTTGTGTAACATAAACTTTAGACTTACCGCTGGGTGATTAATTACAGTGCAAATACCTATAAGTTCATTAAGAAAAATCAATTTATTAAGTAAAACGCAAAAGGTATTATAGTGTACATGTTTTGTAACAAAATAATAGCTTGTAATGCGACGGCAGCTTTTTATGACTATGACGTGACGTTTCGTTACAACATATTCATAATAATATTATAATGCGTATGTGTGTCTGTCTGTCTGTTACCTTTTCACTCGTATCGCTGAACCGATTTAAATAAAATTTTGTATGGAGATAGTTTGAGTACCGGGCAAGGACAAAGGACAGTTTTTATCCCAAAAATCTTCCTATACGGGAATAAAAAGGGGGTGGAAGTTTGTATGGGAAATCAATCACCATTAAAACCGATTCAGATGAGTTGGGTTCAGTAGTATAATTCTTGAGAAAGGACATACTCGAAGGTTACACACTACTACTAGACGCGGGCGGAGCCGCGCGCAAAAGCTAGTATTAAATAAGGTTACGAACACATGTGTTAGCTTTGAGAAACATGAGCAAGGTAAGTATTTAATAACATTCACAGCATGTCAGATGTAATCTGAAAGAGGGAATGTGGCAGAGTTTACATTCAAACCGTTTCAAGTCACTTTAACAGTACAAAACAAAAAATTTAACTAATTACATTTCCGGAATCACGATGAATAACTAAAACTGTATCAAACAATATAATAAACATTACAACTTTTCATGTCAAAGTAAACAATATTCCCTTTGCATAGTGCATATTTCAGATCTTAGTAAGTTACAGTAGACGAAATGTATCAACATTGACCACGGTCATATTCAACGTGGCGTTTCGTCGTGTGCACAATGTGTGCGGTGCACTTCAAACTTCGTGATCACTAGCCGGTTCACTAATAGTGCCGATATAGTGCCTCGGTACTGGATGATAGTGTAACGATATGTTTTTGCGCTCCGAACACATTTCGACCGCTCCACTCTTCGTGCAAATGTGTATCTCCGGTGTTTTTAGAGACGACGCTATTTAAGTAGATGTCTTTCAAGCTCCTTGCTTTTATTGAGGGCTACCTGCTTTGGTCACGTAACTATGCAAGTCTAACACTTAGACTTACATAGTCTAAATATACATATTTGTGTGTATAGCTGCCGCAGGTGACTTTCTTTCTGTATCACGGCTTAGGGGGGTGCCGGTAACTCGCATATGTTGACATTGGTGGAGATTTCAGTGCTGGCCAATTGTAGCGCCAAACGCGGTCACCGTAACGATCGAGTAAATGTGAATGAAACTCGCACTTGCGTAGCGAGACGACATTATTATGTTATTTGAATATACGTCCAGTCACTCTTAATAAATGTAAAGCGACGTGCGTCGGGTGACTTCTAAGTATAATATATGCAGACTCCGAACTCATCCTAAGTAACCAATCTACATGGTTATCTACGCGTTCACATAAACAAATTCACACACATCCCCTTCACTCACACACCTTTAACTACACGTTAACATAACTATATCACAATTATACTCACACTACCCATACACCATACACAATAATCCACATCCTACATTTTTTTTTGTATTTCTTGCTTTAATTACCTATTTAGACTGCACGGATGGCGTAGTGGCTTAAGCGGTCACCACACCGCTTCCTACTAAGCTGAGTGTTGAGGGTTCGATCCCCACATGGGACGACACTTTGTGCGATCCACAAATTGTCGTTCTGAGTCTGGGTGTTCTTTGTGTCCGTTTCATGTATGTTTGTAAAGTTGCCGGCGACACAGGATATATTCCTAGTGCGGGAGATGTTTAAAAAAAATTGTTTTTGTATTTTTTGAGAGGGCGACTCGGTTTTATTACTACTGCGGATATCATCGTTTTCAGATGTACTGTGTAAAATTGTTATTATTTCCAAACAAAGATTTATTTTTGTTAATATTTTTTAATTCAGTGATCGCAGTTTGACGTCACTCAAACGCGTTAAAATTGTCACGCAGCTGTGCAACAAGTACAATAAGCCACGTATGTAACACCATTATTGCGTACGTCGGCGCGTGAGTCACTTGCGTGGGCCTGACGAGTAATTATTCATAGAGTTCGATTGTGTGGGCCCGAATGTCACAAGGACGCGGCCGCCCCTGCGTCAGCTGATTTA